AGATGACCATGTTTCTCAGAAGGACAGCATTTGACCCTGTGTAGCGCAATGGGTAATCAACAGTGAATTCTGGTTGTAGCCACCTGTGTAAAGTGGGCACAATTATGGCCCACTTTGACTGAATAACTTTGGAATAAATGTCTAAAATTGTTCCCAAGCATTTCTAATGGCATTTTAATTTGTTTTCTTTAAGGGGTTGCCTGTTGCTTTAGAAAAGCACATTCTTGGTTTTGACACAGGAGGTAAGAGGGTTTTTTAAATACATATTCTGTTTTTTAAACAAGCTGCATTAGACTAAGAATATAGTTCTTCTCTAAAACTATGTGATTTGTACAGTAAAAAGACAGTTTTGCCCAAAGCTGATGGATATCTTCCTTATGTACAGGAGTTTACAAAAGTCCTTTTCCATCCTCTGCTGGAGCATAAAAGTAGAAGACTATATTGGAGTCAAATAGTGGCTCAGGATAATGTTTACATTGGTGCCCTATAAAGGCTGACATTTTATTGCAGGAGAGATCCTTTGACAGTGTCCGGTTATAAAACTTTATTTCTACTGGCAGGTTATTTCTGTTGATTTAAGGGGTGCCAAAAGGACTAATGTTGATCTGCTGTGCTTTGCTTGTGGGTTTGCAGGTAGCATGCTTTACTCCCACAACGTGCTCTGAGTGAATAATGGTCAAATATCAATAGTCTATTTGGAGTGGCACAGATACTGCTTGTACCATTAAACTGCTACACACAAACTTCAACTCATTTTTAGCTCTTTTTGTTCAGTTTTGAGTGGCTTCAGCCTTGGAGAACCAGAAGGATTGTAGAAAGCCACCATTGGTCTTGCACAGAACACACTGGCCAGACCTGAGAAACAGACCCATTACTAGGGGTGCGTGGTAAACTGGCAATATCTTACCGCTCTCCGCTTTATACAACTGTGAGCTGTTAGAAATTATTCTTGTCTGAGTGTCTCATGTTTTTAAAGGGAAAGCACATTATCTATTAATCCATTTCTTCTTGTGAATGAACTAGATGCTGTTCTTAATGAAGCTGCCCAGATTCTGCGATTGCTGCACATAGAGGAACTCAGAGAGCTGCAAACAAAAATTAATGAAGCCATAGTAGCAGTTCAGGCAATTATTGCTGATCCAAAGACAGACCACAGACTGGGGAAAGTTGGAAGATGAGCAAGTTGAGACTGTAGTGTCCTGTGTACTTAGTACAATTAGGAGCTATGTACAACTGTGGCATGCATTTTGAAATGGATAGTATCCTCTGTTTTGAAAGAGAGAGGAAATGGAATTGTGACTGTTCTGGTGAATTACCATCATTTTTCTTTAAATAAAGTTGGGGAAATAAAATGCATTGTTCTGTCTCTGACCATTCTTAAGCTTTGTTTTTTTATTTAAATGGGAGTCCTGTATAAAGCTTTGGAGATGTGTTGCTGTATTCCTACGTTATGAAATCTTAGTTTAGGCACAATTACTACTACCTGGAACTCTGACACGTAACAAACACGCAAAACTAAATCATATTGAAAATTGAAAACAGACACTTTAATTACTGAAGTAACCAAATAAAAAAAAAAGTTACAATGCAACAGATTTTTATGAACATGTATTGGTCAACAATGAGTAGTTCTCTAGAGGCACTTAAGGAACATCAGATTAGCATATTCTTCTAATATAAATACTAAAAGACATGCATCAAGGCAGAGGAAAAGAGCTAGAGAATCCTTAATGCATTTGCCATTTCCCATGATAGTTTGGCGCAGTTTCTAAAATACACCCGTGATCAGGGCTGTAGGGGAATTGACCCAGGTATGACACTGCATTAAAGTCTTTCCATGCTGATTTAACTTTTTGGCTATTTGTGGTAAGTTCTCGTTCCTGCCAATAAAACAAAACGCTGGCTTAAAGTTAAGACTTTTTAAAAATTGCTTACATAAGCAAAAGTTAGAGTAATGGCATAGGATTCCTAGAGCCATTTTATTGTCTTGCAATATATCAAAATGTCTTTTAAAAAAAACCACACAGTAGTAAAGATTGAGGTATAACTTAAAATACTTGATAATCTTTTGCACTAAAGTAGATCACATCATTGCCTTTGTGATGAATTCCTTCCCTTGAACTGTAGGCAGGGATAATTTCCTGGGTCTGGAATTCTTCCTCCATTTGGAAAGACTGGACTTTTTTTTTTTTTTTAAGTAGCTGATTATTTTCTTGCTGCAGGAAGAAAGGAAATAGGTACAAGTTGGTGTTAATACAGTGATATGCACATATTGGCAGTAGTCTGGCTACAGTGGTGTTCACCAACCCATGAATTGGGATCAGCTGTAGATCCTGGCACCTCACAGGCTGTGTCTACACTGGCACAATCTTGCGCAAAAGCGGCCACTCTTGCGCAAAAGCTTGCTGCCTGTCTACACAGGCCGCGTGTTCTTGTGCAAGTAAACTGACGTTCCAATGTATGAAATCAGGGCTTCTTGTGCCGGAACAATGATGCTCCTGCTCAGGAAGAAGCCCTTTTGTGCAACTGTTCTTGCACAAGAGGCCAGTGCAGACAGGCAACATGAATTTCTTGTGCAAGAGAGCGTTTACACTGGCAACGGATGCTCTTGTGCAAAAGCACATGCCAGTGTAGATGTTCTCTTCTGGAAGAGTTCTTGCGCAAGAAGCTGCCAGTATAGACGTAGCCACAGGGTCCTGTCCAAACCAGTCAGGATCATCTATCAAGTACCCCCCCTTCAGCTGTGCTTTGCCTCAATACCATGCTGCTCTTGCCCTCTGCCTGAAAGCTGCCCCCAGGTGCCTGCTGCTTGCTGTGCGGGGTTGGGAGGGCAAGGAGGAGAGCAGCAATGTCAGGGTGTTCCCATCTCCCTGTCTTTGTACCCCAATCTCCAGAGGAAAGGGTACAACAGGGCTCAGGATAAATGGTGCTTTCTGGCCACTGTTGAGTGGTGCAAAGCAATGTCCAGCTGGAGCCCACATCTTAAACTGCTCCTGTACATCTGTCCCAGGCTCAACACTCCCCCCACCCCCGCCCGGTGAAAGTGAGTGAGCCAAGAGAGGGATGCCAGAGAGGAGGTGGAGCAAGGTTCTTTGGGTGTGATGTAGATCGTGGCTTGCACTTAAATGGAACATGGGCCCTTGTGCTTAAAAAGGTTGCAGACCCCTGGTCTGCAGTAAACAGAACAGCCTTTACCGCCTGGGCAGTAGGGGTAAACTGCTGTTATTCCATAGAGGTGTGATCGCTGCTCTGGAAGATACTCGTCGGTAAGGATGCCGCTGGCTTTATTCACAGCGATGACGCCGTCCCTAGTAACAGAAGTGAGAAATGCTTTTTTACTTGCCCATGAAAAGAAATCCTTCAGTCGGCGCAGGCGCATGGAATTTGACAGACACGAGAAAACAACTTACTCGGACTTCCTGCGTCACCCAGGCCAGCGACTGTCACACAGCAACTGCATCAAGCCACTTCACCGTACTAGTTTAATTACTGAACCAGCACAGGGCAGACTCCCAAAGAGGTGGTATTCCCCCCCCCAACCCCGCTTCTCCCCCCGGCAGTGTCACAAAGGATGTGCAGGTTTAAATTCAAATGAATGCAATCCGATTAGCCTCACGTTAATACCTGCCGTGAGGTTGGGAGTGGTCCCTTGTTGCCATCACAGTCACAAAATGGGTTTTTTGGAGTGGGCAGAAGAAATGAGGCCTTTAGTTATGGGGCATGTTGCATATTTGGAAATAGGAACCGCCCATGTTTTTTTCCTGCACCAACAGTAACTGTGTTGTATAAAATACAGCTGCCGTACCACCCTCCATAGCGGCCTGTACTGATAATGAGAAAGCTGGGGTAAGGTGTGACAATGTGTCGGGGTTTCCCTGGCACTGCACCCCCCCCCAGCAGCAAGAACAGACTCCGCCAGCCCGTAGAATAGAGGGAGTTTATTGCTTCTCCGGGATACAGCACAGCACCCACATGATGTGTCTTACAGGAGTCTGGGCCAGTATGCCTCAGACCCCTTGAGATGGGGTCGCTGGGCCCCTAGATTCCAGCCCAAGTCTGACCCTTCCCCCCAGCACTCGCTTGCCTAGTTCCCTCGCTGCTCCAATGCGTCTGACCGGTTGGGTCTTTGTCTACCTGACTTAGGCAGCCCCCCCTGCTGGGCAGTGCTCACAGGCAGAGGCCAGGAGGGGTCATTCACAACCCACAACCCAAACACAGCAACCGGCAAGGTACTGACACTACACCACCACGTGTGGGTGAGTCAGTGGGAATCACCCAGCACAGCGCAGGGGGACCCCGAGACACAGGGAAGAAAGGCCCCCCCCACTATGCTACACGGGCCACGTCTAGACAGGCATGATTTTCCAGAAAGGCTCTTAACAGAACAGTTTTTCGGAAAAGAGCGTCTAGATTTGCGGAAAAGCGTCCTGCCAATCTAGACGCGCTTTTGCGCAAAAAAGCCCTGATCACCATTTTCGCCATCGGGGCTTTTTTGCGCCAAAACAATACCACGTTGTCTACACTGGCCCTCTTGCGCAAAAGCATTTGTGCAAGAGGGCTTTTGCCCGAATGGGAGCAGCGAGAACACTGACAATCTTACATGAGATCGTCCGTGTTCTTGCAGAAATTCAAGCGACCAGTGTAGACAGCTGGCAAGTTTTTCTACAAAAGCAGTCGCTTTTGCGGAAAAACTTCCCAGTCTGGACGCAGCCAGTGCGTGTAACACGATTCAGTGCAGGTTGAACAAGTGCTATGGAACAGAAAAACTCTGGCTCAGAAGACTCCCCAACCCCACTCTAACTCGGGGGTGAGTAATAATTGTTGATGGAGGCACTCCCAGATTTTGGTACATGGTCAATGACCGCACTTTTCTCTGGGGGAGGGGGCGCGCAGAGTCTGGGATGGAGGCTGGGTGCAGAAGAGAGCTAGGGGTAGGGCAGTGGTTCCCAACCACCACGGTGACTACCGGATTGTTCAGTGGCTCAGCTCCGGCAGTCGTGCTGGCTGAGGCATGTAGAAGGCGCCTCCCTCCCTCCTTTGTGCTTGGGGCACATCGCCACTGGCCTCTCCCCCACCCGCGCAGCCGCTTTTGCTGGCAGTGGCGCTGAGGTGGTGGCAGGAAGAGGCAGGGCAGAAGGTGCCTTCCTCCCTCCCCCTTCCAAATGCTCTTGGGTGCACAAGATGCGCTTGGGGAGGGAACAGCCGCTTCCCCTACCCACGTGACAGTAACAGACACGCTCCCTAGTGAGGGCAGCCTCACTCGGGGGAGTGCAAGGACGGGGTGGGGGCAAAGGAGGTGTTGGGTGAGGGCGTGGTGGGATCAGAGGGCAAGAGGGTGTTGTCATGGGCTGTAGAGGTCACAGGGTAAAGGGTCAAATGGCATCGGGCGTAGGAGTGGGGTCATAGAATCATAGAATAATAGGACTGGAAGGGACCTCAAGAGGTCATTGAGTCCAGCCCCCCGCCCTCAAGGCAGGACCAAGCTCCGTCTACACCATCCCTGACAGATGTCTATCTAACCTGTTCTTAAATATCTCCAGAGAGGGAGATTCCACCACCTCCCTTGGCAATTTATTCCAATATTTGACCACCCTGACAGTTAGGAATTTTTTCCTAATGTCCAATCTAAACCTCCCCTGCTGCACTTTAAGCCCATTACTCCTTGTCCTGTCCTCAGAAACCAAGAGGAACAAATTTTCTCCTTCCTCCTTGTGACACCCTTTTAGATATTTGAAAACCGCTATCATGTATCAGGTAACGTTTTATTTGCATATTCATTACTTGCAGAATTATTATGCAAACAACAGGTAACTGGTCCACCAAAAGTTTGTGAAGGGGCTTGCCAGTCCCCAGCATAAAGGTGGGGAACCGCTGGGGTAGGAGGCTGGGGGGCAGGCGAGGGTGTGGGATGTGAGAGTGGGTTGTGACCTGGGGCAGGGAATTGGGGTGTAGGGTCTGGAAGGGAGGATGGGTGCAGGGGAGAGTCTGTCCTGGGGAAGGGTTTAGGCGGGATACAAGATTTGGGAGGGAGTTGGGGGGCATGTGGGGGTGGAGTGTCAAAGGCAGGCTCCTGACCAGCTGTCTGTGCATAGGGCTCCCTGCACTGCTGGAGGGGGTAGCGAGAGGTTTTGCCTGCTGCCCTGACCCCAGCAAAACCTCTCAGCTCCCATTGGCAGGTTTCTGGCCAATAGGAGTTAAGAGATTTTGCTGGGGGTGGGGCCCCTCTCCCTCCTGCCTGCAGCACACAGTCCCAGGAAGCAGCTAGTCACTTGGAGCGGTGCTGCTCCCTGCTGCCGGCGTGGGCCGGGTCAAAAGGCACGGCAGGCCGGATTTTGCCCACCCCTGCTCTAACTGGATACCACTCTCAGAATCGGCTCGGTGGCTGCCCAAAGCCGACTGGCGGGGATTTAGCCCCTCCGCAGTTCGGGTGGGCGCGTGGGAGCCTACCTTCTCCAGTCAGTGTGATAGAAGTGATTGGCGTAACTGACAATGCTGAAGGGGTAGTTGAGGTTGTTCTGAATGACACGCCTTCCGGTTCCGTCCGGGAACGTGCACTCCAGCTTCTTGGTTCCTTTTGCAAAGAAAACAAGGAGTGAGGCGAGACGTCCTGTATCTTCCACGGAATGATCCGCACGCTACAGGGCCACGGCCCAGGATAAACTTGGATCCTACCGCCCTCCTCCTAAAAATGTGAAAAATCCACCTGGGGGAGGAGGTGGTGTATGTGTACACAGAGATCCAGACCAGCAAGGATGACTAGAATTTCGGTTTTTCAGGGTGTATTGTTTTTACTCTAGGGGAATTGGTTCCATACTGGGCCTATAGTGACTGAAACGGGTTCGTATGCATGCACCTCTACACCAGCAACTATAGGGATGTAAAGGAAAGCACGTACTTTTGTCTGGTTCTGGACAGAAGCACAGTGCTGCAGTCCCCTATATTCACTGAGTCTAGACTCACTCTGCTCCTGCGTTCTCCTTAGATGCTGCTCTATGTACATAAAATATTTATCTGCCAATATGTTCTTGTGATGAAATATTCACTTATAGACTCATAGACTTTAAGGTCAGAAGGGACCATTATGATCATCTAGTCTGACCCCCTGCACAGTGCAGGCCACAGAATCTCACCCACGCCTCCTAGAATAATCCTCTCACCTATATCTCAGATATTGAAGCCTTCAAATACTTTGAAGACCCCAAGATGCAGAGAATCCTCTAGCTGTGATCTGTACCCCATGCTACAGAGGAAGGAGAAAAACCTCCAGGGCCTCTGCCAATCTACCCTGGAGGAAAATTCCTTCCTGACCCCAAAAATGGCGATCAGCTAAACCCTGAGCATGTGGGCAAGACTCATCAGCCAGACACCCAGAAAGTTCTCTATAGTAACTCCTATCATCCCTCCATTGACCTATTCCCACTCCACTGATAATGAATGGTCAATTAGTTTAAAACTTAACTTGTGTGTTAAGTCTTAAAATTCCACGTTAATATTCAGGACAGTCCAAACAGCCTGTGACAGGCTTGCGGAGAAATCTGTAGACACTAGACAAACGCTTCTGTAGACACTATGGGTATGTCTAAACTACATGGCTCTGTCGATGGAGCCATGAGCCATGTAGATTTGTTTGTTTGGCAAAGGGAAATGAAACCGCGATTTATATAATTTAGATTTAAATAATCACAGCTTCATTTAAATTTACATGGCTGCCACGCTGAGCTGACAAACAGCTGATCAGCTGTTTGTTGGTTCAGCGCACTAGTCTGGACGCTCTGAGGTATAATGGGGAGGTCGATAAAGGGCTTTCAGGTCGGTGCAGGAGCGTCCAGACTAGCGCGCTGAGCCGACAAACAGCTAATCAGCTGTTTGTTGGCTCAGCGCACTAGTCTGGACGCTCTGAGGTATAATGGGGAGGTCGATAAAGGGCTTTCAGGTCGGCGGGCAGAGCGTGGCAGCCATTTAAATTTAAATGAAGCCGCGATTATTTAAATCGCGGCTTCATTTCCCTTTGCCGATCAGCCTAATCTACATGGCTCCGTGTAGTTTAGACACACCCTATGAACGGACACTTCACTTTTAGACATAAAATTGTGTCACCTTGCCTGTAAAAACAAAAATCTAAAATCCATATCAAGTGACAGGCACTTGTACGTTCTAGTGCTTGGGGGTAGCAGCCCTTGCTCCGTCTGCCACCCTCTCGCTGGGACTCTAATGCTGCTCTGCCCAGTACACACCTAACCTTCAGTCTCCTACATAAACCTGCAGGTGTGATACAGGCCAGCTAACACAACTAAAAAGAACACCGCACAGCCCCCATAAGGCCATTTTATTCAGTAAGATATGTTCAGAAGGCAGTTAAGTATTTTTTGCCTTGTCAATCTAAAATGTGTTCTGTTTAGACAGGTCACGTCTGGGAAAAGTCCACTCCCTCATGGTTTGTTTTTATACGTGGGACAGCGTTTCTCAAACTGTGGGTCGCAACCAACTTAGAGGGGTAGGTCACAGCTGGATGCAGGTTTTCACTTGCGATCCCTCTCCCCCGGGCTGCAGAGAGGCAGGGGGGCAGAAGGCAGCTGGTGGCAAGCCACACAGCGTGGCCAGGGCCGCGGGACTCCAGGAGTACGGCTCGGCTGCAGGAGGAGGCAAGGCGCCGGCTGGGGTGGGGTTTCCGGGCAACCAAATATTTCTCCAGCTAGGAGAGGGCGGGGTCCCTCAGGTAGCGGGCTGGGGGATCGGGTCGGGGCAGAGGACCCAGAGGTAAATAAGGGCACGTGGAGGTCAGAGGAGAGGAGAGGAGAGGAGAGGAGAGGAGAGGAGAGGAAGGAACCAACCAACGGGACGCGGAGCGGAAAAGAGGCACAGAGGAGGAAGATGGGGGGTGGGAGGAAGGAGCCTGCAGGGGGGAAGGACGTTGAGGGCTGCAAACGCCTTGAAGGAACCCCAGGAGGGCAAGGAGTCTGGAGAGAAGGGGGCAGGAAGCGACCCAAGGCAGTGAGGGTGGGGAAGAGGGGGTTGCACAAATTCATTTAGCATTTTAAGGGGTCGTGGTATCACAAAGTTTGAGAACCCCTAAGTGGGATCATGAGAGGTCAGGTTCAGGGAAGACTTCAACAGATGTGATTTGTCTCCAGCGTGTTTCAATCTATATTAGCCTATGTTACCTGCATCTGCCCAGCAAATCAATTTGGAGAAAGGGTCAAAAGTCAAGCCATTTGGTAAGCCGATGTCTTGATTCACCAGAATCCTTCTGTTTGCGCCATCTACAGTTGAGGTTTCAATTTTAGGTGCTTCACGATTCCAGTCTGTCCAGTAAAGGTTGCTGTGAGGGAACCAATAAGCAAACGCTGGTAAGGATGTACAGCGGGTAAACCCATTTAAAAACAAGGCAGACTGCGGTAACTATCACAAAAATCCCAGGCCTCTCGGTCGGCTTTATGGATCAGATCGTTAGCTGCTTTGAAATCCCCTAAAAGGAAACCCAACTAATCTCCAGAATGTTTTTAAACAACCTATCATTTGCAATTAAAGATATTCTTCTGTAATAAGAGCCAGTCCCGTTCACTTTCTAGCTAGCAACTGTACATACACGGGGGTTACGTCTACACTGGCATGATTTGCCGGAAATGCTTAAAATGGAACAGTTTTCCGTTATAAGTATTTCCGGAAAAAGCACGTCTACATTGGCAGGATGCTTTTCCAGAAAAGCACTTTTTCCGGAAAAGCGTCCGTGCCAATGTAGACGCGCTTTTCCGGAAAAAAGCCCAGATCGTCATTTTCACGATCGGGGCTTTTTTGTGGAAAACACTACTGTGCTGTCTACATTGGCCCTTTTCCGGAACAGTTTTCTGGAAAAAGGACTTTTGCCCGAACGGGAGCAGCATAATATTTCCAGAAAAGCAGCTGATTTCTTACAGTAGATCGTCAGTGCTTTTCCGGAAATTCAAGGGGGCAGTGTAGACAGCTGGCAAGTTATTCCGGAAAAGCGGCTGATTTTCCGGAATAAGTGGCCAGTGTAGACACAGCCGAGGAGTTAAAAGCTCTCTTCATGCAACGTATGTTCCAAATTTGTACAAGATTCAACCCTTTTAATAATATTGTAAATCTGAGCACAAGGAGCAAGTTTAGCCAAATTCACTAAATTAGTAAATAGAAGGGGAAGATGCACGGGGTAAGTGTGCCACGCTCCAACTGTTGTGATCTCGAGAGCTGCTCTCCTACACCTGTTAAGGAGATGCGCTGGAATGAGAGAGGTCTCCTTGTACCAGACATGGCTACTCTTGCTTGCTTTACTTATATTCAGAGCAAAAAGGTTTGGACCAGGTCAGGGACCGATTAATTAATTCGTCAGGGGGCATGTGCACTAGAATTCAGATCGCGCCAGGCCGCCAATGCACATAGGTTTGTCCAACCCTGCTTGGAGACTTGTCTACGCTGCAGCTTCCGTGACTGGAATGGTGCACGGGGTGAACCCTGAAAGTGCCGCGCCTGGGTTAGGCATTGCAGTCCATTGCCACGGCGGCAAATCTCCCGTTTTGTTCCAACCCGCCAGGGCGGCCCAAAGGCCTGTGAGATTTCCAAAGCACGTGCACGGCGCTGCCCTTTACCCTCTCACGGCATCCACGGTGATTGCACGAGGATTCACAAGGTCTGCGTCAAACAGAACCCGGCGCTCAGACCCGTCCAATCTTGCACGCTCAATTTTGTCCAAGGTGGATGTGGTCGACAGCGAGTCCTTCAGGACTCATTATGCCTGGAGGGAGGCACAGAGAGGAGCACGGTCAGGGGAGTAGCGCACTGTGACACTTGGCATTTGTGTAGCACTGTCAATTGTGTAGCATGCAATTAATCAGCCCGCTACCCCTGTTGTTCCAGCTTGCTTGGTAATTATAACCCACCACCTCCCTCACTGTTCCCTGTAAACTGAGCACTTGGGCTACCACCCAGGAGAGAGTCCAAAGCTGCCCAGCTGATTAGCAGAGCGCCCACAGCCGGCAGCATGTGTTTCTATGGTGGTGCACATCCAGCCATGCCTGGGTGCACATAATAAAATTTATTCCACACATCAATGGAAAAAAGAGGGAATGTTGACTCACCCCACCTTCTGCCCCTCCCAATTGGCCATAAATTGTGATGCCTAACGGAGAAAGCCAGGCAGATGGGGGCTTGCCAAAAGTTAGGGAGAGTGACCAAGCCAAAAGCTGGGATTAGCGCTCAAAAATTCTTCATGCCCAGCTCTGCTGCCTCTCTGCCAGGTGGAGAGCAGCTTCAACGCCTGTTCAGGCCTGTATTCAAGCCGGCCACACGAACACTCAAGGAAATGACGATTCACCTGAGTTAATAAGGGTTTCGGGTTCAGCCCCTGGTTCTAGCCTTGCTCGGTTAACTGTCCGACCAGCCACGTCCGTCCAATAGACCATTTTTTCTCGACAGTCGTAATCTAGCCCAACCACGATGGAACCCTGCAGGGGTTTCAAAATATGTGGATTTACTCATTCGCCTCCACAGCACAGGCGCTCGTGTGGCTACAGCTGGCGGAGCCAGAGCCGAGTCAGACAATCCTGCATGGCTGGCTTTGTGTTCGACCCTGGTTTGAAGTTTGTCACTTAGTTCTACA